TCCCCGCTGGGACTTTTTTTTTTTTTTTTTTTTTTTTTAAAAGCTCAGAGGCCCGTGTCTCAGGGCGGCGGGATCATTTTTGGGGTGACATGGAGGACCTTTGCTCAAGTGCTAGCTCCCCCAAGCTCCCAGCGCCCCGAGCTCCCCATATTTGCCTCCACCCAGTGAAACATCGCCCACGCTCATCTCCAGCAAACATTTGAAGGCGAAATATCTAACGTTAGAAACCATTGTGTCCCTTGTGGAGAGGATCATCACTCAATCCCTCGGTCGACTTTTCATGGTCGTCCTTTTTCTTTTCTTTTCTTTTTTTATTTTAATTTCGAGAATCCTACTGCCCAGCTGAACCAGCCAAACGGGCTCCCCCTTCCCTTCCCACATCTCCTCGCAACCTGCAAAGCCACGCACCTCGACACCTTTACATACGTGCAAGAAATCGCGGTACATGTTCCCCTCAGCGAATCAAGAATACCGAGGAAATAAACAGAATTCGGCTAAACGCCTGCTTCAGGTCCTTGCTACCATATCCATCCATTCGAATCGCCCTAATTGCTTTGCCTCTCTTTCTGCCCCGACCCCGTCCCGACCGCCGACTACGGAGTAGGCGACACTGATGTCCCATTTCCACCCCAAAGCCTCGTGCTCGTACAAATACTGCCCGAACCTCACTTGTTACCGTACATAACCTCGGGAGGCTGGCTGCCGTGTTCAAAGGCGTATGAAAAAGACGCCAACTCTTTCGTATCATGTGCGTAAGCGCGCACCAAGAAAAACAACCTCATCATGTGATGTGGTGTCCCGCCGTGTCGTGTTGTGCCAATTCTATGCAACCGACGCCAGCGACGGTCCCATTGCTCCATTGTTCGTTTTTCTAGCCGAGCCGCAGTCATTTTTGGGAGAGACATCCATGCGTACTACGTACCACTACTGCCGAGTTCTCATCATGCGTGTGATTCGGTGGACTGCATACGAGAATCAAAATGTGACGGCCCCTGGTTTGTGTGACGGAAGCTGCATGAAGAACACATCTGGTGATGTATTCTGTGTGCCTGAAGCATCCGATTCATCTGTCGCAAGCTTCCTTTCTTTGATCCGTGATTTTTGTCTTTCCCTGGGGCAGATATCTCCGCCCTTCATGGTCGAGGGGATATGCCGGCACGATGGATAGATACCTCCCTCCTGGCCGAGACCAGCTTCTGGCACCATTGCACGAGCTTAGCCCTGTGGTGTGACCTGTCCACATAATAAGAAGTGGTGCTCGATTCGTAATCAGAATACTGTCGCCGAACGGACGGTGATGAATAGGTCATGCCTTGCGGCGTATTGAGTACTTGGGTACGTAGAGCCATGGCCTTCGGCGCATAGCTCGATTAAATTAATGACATGAATCAGTGTGTCAGCGTCAGTACGCCATGGGATTTCATCGACTTTGATACGTTGAAGAGAGAGAGAGAGGGGGGGGGGGAGGGGGAGAGCCTCAGACGAGTCCCGTCTTTCCACACAATTTTTAGACTGCGCTGAAACTATTGGAGAGGATTTATTATAATCTAGATTGCAGGCAACTGTCGCTATGCTACTCAGAATCACGAGACGTTCCAGGTTCCATATCACCGCCTGGGGTATCATCCTTGCTCTTTTTCTTGGGACGGAAGAAATCGCCTATTGCGTCACTGACGCTTCGCGACCTCCTCCGCGATGGGTCATGTGCCTCGCCATCCTCATCCCCAGGTGTCTCAAGGTGTCTTGACCAATAAAGATCCGATGTTGGAATGGGCATGTAAGCCGATGATATTGCATTCTCCTGATCTTCACCATCGTTGAAGAAAAGGCTGGCACGAATGCTAGACCGTATTTTCCTCAGTGATGATGTATTAGTCAAAGATGGGTCATCTTCTCGTAAGAATGCGTCTTTCACGACGGTAGTGACTGTAGAAGAAAGTGGGGATGGCGATATAAAAGTCTTGGAGCGATGATGACTCGCAGTCCAAGGGAGTCCTCCTGAGTTCCGGTGAGCTGTAAACGGTCTGTCTATAGGGTATGTAGCCACGACAGCTGAGTCTGTGATTGGAGTCGTGGCAGCAGAATTGCTTGGCGTTGAAATCGCAGCAGACCCGGCTACGGCCGAGTCGGTAGAATAGGTTTTGGCGCCAAAAACAGGAGACGCAGCGGACGGCCAAGGTTCTCGCCAAGGGTTGTCGGATAGAGCGGGCGTTTCTGCTTCGATGGCCATCGATTCTGGTCCCCTCTCAGTTGGACGCTGTAGTATTTTTGGCCTGTCGGGCTTGTCCTGGGGAGATCCTGGCTTGACCGCATCTGCAAAGCTGACCCTCGATAATCTACTAAGTCGCCGAGTGAGGAAATTGGGCGATTCAACGTCTCCAGGACCCGATGGTGCTTCATCGTGTCTCATTAGACCAATGGTCTCCTCGATCCCATCAATATCAGACAGAATATCCTCATCATCTGCCTCCTTTTGTTGTCGACCACTAGTGATAAGGAAAACACCCAAAAACGTGAGGAGGCAGCCGCCTACGAACTTTGCGGCTTGTTTTGCCGTCGTCTTTTCAAAGTCCCGGTAAAGAACAGCGCTCCCCAGGATGACGCAAAGTGTGAAAAGAACGAATTGAATGGGGATGACCTGAGTAGAGTTAAAGCGCTGTAGTGCCTTGTTGACATATCGAATCTGCATGATAGCCGTGAGAAGGAGAATGAGAATTAGAGCATATGTAACTGGAGTTGTGAAGGCTCTCCAAAGCGTCGAGGACAGCATAGACGATACGCCTTTCGTTGCCAGCGCAGTATATCCACCTGGGATTCATTGATTAGAATCATGACGCGGGTGATGGGTAAGGGCAAAAAGGCGGAAGGGGGGGGGAGGGGTTATTGCATACCAAAAAGTCCCACAAGCCCGAGATCTATCAGAATAGTACGCCTGCCATACTTACCACTTGCCCACATTAACAAGACAATCAAAGCGACAGTGGAAGCGAGATAGATTTCGAATTCCATGGTAGCGATTGCGCGCCAAACATCGTCAGGTTCCAATTTGGTCTCCTCCTGTTTTGCGCTAAACACGACTGTGACGACTCCTCCAACAGCGATGATGACACCCCAAAAGTCCCTGGCGCGAAACCGCTCGTGGAACATTACGGGCGCGATGATACAGTTCGATATGAGAGCTACGACGCCCAAGGGTGACACAATCGAAGCAGGAGCAAATCCGTAGGCCAGAAAATTGCCCATTTCGCCCAGAGTTATGAGGACTTGTCCTAGCCACCAATATGGAGACTTGAGGTATGTTGACGCAACGTTGTTCGGTTCTCCATGAATGCTGTCGACGTCGGTCATGGCGTTTGACTGGGAAGACAGGGATAGAGGATCAGGTCCGCCTGATTCTTGCTCGCCGTGGACCCGATTCGTGCCGGTAACAGAGTCATCGTGGCTGAGCCCGTCGCCGCTCCTATGGCCATTGGGCTCTTCAGAAAGTGTGCCATATGATGCACCGTTGCCGCTACCCTGCGCACGTTTCAAGGCAGCACGCGCCCGCTGGCGCACACGCGCTCGTTCCTTATGAAGTCGCGTGTGTGCGTATCGCTGGACATTCAAAGCTAAAGCAATGAGGACGTTTCCGACAATGGCGGCGATGATGCCGATGAGAGATGACCATTGCTGCAAGACCTTGCCGGGATCGCCGGGGGAGGCTGTGGCCGTTGCTGTGGCCGTCGCCGACGTAGTTGTGGTCACCACGGTGGCTGCGGTCGTTGACAGCCGTGAAGGAGCACCAGTCGCAACGTCCATCGAGGCAGCGCGAGCGTCGTGGCCGGCAGACGCAATCGCGGGAAGCTTTCGAAGGCAGGCTGGAGACAGTTGCGGCGCCCGATGCAGCAACCTTGACGGATCCTGGCCGGCGCTGGCCCAAGATCATCGGGTTTGCAGAGTAGGTAGGCGGAAGGTTAGATGAGATATGTCCCTATCGAAGGCCCGGCCGGATCATGGCTATAGGAAGGCCTCTGAATATGGCGACACAAAGGAAGACTCGAGACAGACAGGGAGAGAACTGGCCCTCTGCAGACCTGGGTGACATTTGAGCAAGGCGAGTTGCGGAGTGGCGTTTCGACGCTGGAGCTACGTACTAACGTTACGTAGTAGCGAGTGAGTACGGAGCAGTACAGGCGGCTTGGCACAACGTCGTACGGAGTACTCCGTACTCTCTCATACGTAAGTACGGAGTACTCTCACACGCGTGGGTCCAAGTGAGCGGCACCCCGGGCACCTAGGGTACTTAAGTACTCCGTATGCACTTGGTAATTTCCGCCGGACCATCAGCTCCCAATGCGTCCTTGTCCTTATCAAGTGCTCGATGGAGCACATGAAGCTTACAGTTGGTGACTATTAATAACTACCTAGGGAGACAATACAAAGCTCGAATTCGTAGCAATAGCTTCAAGGCCTGGCTGCTAACCTGAAACTGGAGGGGTCGGCTCCTTTGTCTCTCAAAACAGCTCTAGGTGCTCGCAGCTGAAAAGCGGCCTGGCGTTGGTGGGAGTTGGGGGACCCATAAAATCGGCCGCCGACGCTGGGCCGCTCGACGTGTTCTTCTATCAACATCTCAATTCCACATATCACTTCTACCGAGCAACGCCTGCAGCGACATCGTTTATCTCAATATCTACAGGCTCGGCATCTCTTACCAAACATCACTCACAAGACAGTCTTTCTCTCGCCCAGTACACAGTCACTCTCACCCCTCTCGCCGCAGACTCGCGCTCGGCAATTCCCAGCGCTCCTTGCACTCACCACGACTTCTGTGTAGCCACGCAACGTGCCTTGCAGACGACGCTGCACACATCAAGCCCGAGGGGGCGGGTTTCTTTCGCTAGTTGTAGTAAATATAAGGAGGCATCACCATGGACGTCGGCGACGACAAAAGACTCGCTACCATGGACGTCCTTTCCCTGATTTCCTCACCGTCTTATGCACCAACCACACTTCGCCACCTCCCTCAACCTGTTCCCAATCACCTACCGCCAGGGGTTGATGGCTCTATTTTCACATTTGAAGATGCCTTTGAAGATCTACTCGCTGTCTCAAAAGGCCAAAAGCTTCCCGACATCACAACTCGCTACGAGCAAAGGCGGCTGCTCCGCGATATGTTCCCGTCTGGAGAACCCACCTGGTTTTGGCTGCGACGCCTTGAAGCCCAGGGCTTAGTTCAGGTTCCCAGTCGTGCTCATTTCTTCGGGGCACACCATCCAGATTGGTCAAGCTTTCACAAAGAGCTCGACCGGCATGCGGCTGATGCCTGGCGTAGCCTCAGCAAGGGCCATGGTCATGACGCCTGTGGTTCCGGAGACTTCTTTGAAGAGATAGGCAAAGCTTTCAAACAGCTTGAGCGAGGCTTTTCGGGCCGTGGCAATCGAAACTCCGATGCGAATTGCTGGGAAAGGAAGGAGCTGGATAGAGGGCCAGATACATTTGAGGAGCTCTTTTCGGAGATATCCTCAAAATTCAAGGAGAGCGCCTCATCGTGGGACACATTCGTCAAGAACATATCGGTATACTCCAAGCCCAAGTCTCAACAGGGGAAGCCCGAGGCACAGGTTGACGGCCACGAAAAGGGAAAGGTCGTGACAGACGAAAATGAGTATGTGGATCGGTTTGGCTACTTGCACAAAACCGTCACCCGCAAAACGTTGGATGCGGATGGAAACGAGGTTGGCAGTGAAACCTATGTTATCGTTCGCCCAGCGGATAAGCACCTGGATAATGAAAACAACCCTAAAATTGGAGGCAACGAACCTCTTGAAATTGGAACTGACACCAAGAAATCAAGCTGGTTTTGGAAGTAACATTTCGTACTCCCGGTCCGCCTATATTTTTTTACTCTTGTGGTGCGGAAGTTTCATGGCTCGTCACTCAATTTACTATATGATGTCGACGTCCTATTTTGTCTGTAATGGGCTTGTCCCTCTCTGGATAAGTTGATTATTCCTCTCAATGCTAACCAGACTCCCTTATCAATATGGAGAACATGTAGACATTGCTTCTTTGCCTATCCAAGTGTAGAACTTGCCAAATGCTTCTTGAAGTGCCGTTGGCGGTTGTCTGCCAAGAGGACGTCTTTTCATACGTGTTACATCTTGCCCCGAGCCTTCGCCTTCTTCTTCCTCATCAACCTCGTACGGGCAATAAGTCTCTGCTGCATATCCTCAGCCTTAGACGCTCCGTGTTTTTGTTTATCATCAACATGGGCTCGTGCTTCTCTATTGCCATCCTTTGCGCCCTTCCCACCTCGTTCTAGCCTTTGCGACCTGCCCTTGCCAGCATCTGCAGATTCGCTTCGCTTGTTGCGTCCTTCTTGCTGAAGCTCAACCGACTTCTCCGCAGCACGTCGACGTTGTACAACGTTTGCGTTTTCAATGGCAAATTCAACAACCAGCCGTTGTTTCCGTCCATTCTCGCCCTGGATTTGGTGGCCATTGAGATAACGTAATCCCATGAGTGCCCAATGGTGTGAAGTGTACTCGATGAAACCATATCCACGACTCTTACCAGCACCGCTCGTCTCATCCACTTTGGATCCCTGATTGCTTTCAAAAACTACTTTGGCTTGTCGAACTATGCCCTTGCCCTTCAACTTTCGTTGACGCTCTTTCTCTTTGGCGTCTTTACCATCTCTGGCATTCTCTTCCTTGGATAATGGCTGCCGGAGACCCTCCTTCACATCCACGGCAAAGCCTACAACAGCCTTTCTTGCGAGTTCCTTCAGCTCCTTCGAACCAATGTTTCGTGGGATGTTCCGTAGCGCCAGTCGTGTCAGGCTGAGATGCAGGCTGGGGTTGCTTTGGACGAGTTTCTTCCGTTGCGCAGCGCTGGCCTGGCGCATTTGGATTTCAGAAGGGCTGAGGAGACCGAACAGAGGTGATCCTCGTCCTATGGCTCCCTCGGAGAGCAGATACAGGCGTCGCTTGTCCTTCTCTCTGCGTTTTGCAAGCGAGTTGTCGGCTAGATTCGCTGCCTCCGCCTTGTTCACGGCCTGAGCGACTTGAAGAAGACGACCTTCGAGAGTGTATTTACCACTAGGGTCAGCCTTCTCGTCCAACAACAGTGACGGTTTCGATCTTGCGGCGGATGCGCTAGGTCGGGGAGCCTCTTTGATACACCGTTTGGCGTCGGACTGCTTCACGAAGCACACAAACCCAGTGCCAGCAGGCTTTTCTGTACTTTTATCAATGACAACTCGGGCATAGCGAACAGCTCCGAAATGAGAAAAGAATTCTTTGAGTTGCTCGTCGGTAGTTGTGAAAGGAAGGTTTCGGATGAAAACAGTGGAGGAATTATCAGTGCCTTTCTTCTCCACGCTTGGCTTGTCATTGTCCACCGAGTCATCCTCCCCACCATCTTCGTCCTCATCCTCCATGTTTTGCATGTGATTTTTCATAAAATTTTCTAAGTCTGCATTAAGCTCAGTATTCTTTCCGGGCTCAGCAAGAGTACCGTTATCATCGTCGTCATGCGATGCGACACTTCCCGAAAGGGTTTTCTCATCGGCATGAAAATTCTCATGGCTGGAAGCTCCATATTCGGCTTCCAGGTTCTGCTGTTGCTCCCAAGTCTCCTTATCCACAGCCCAGTCCACTGCCAATGTTCGGCCATCGATTTCCTTGCCGTTAACGCTCTCTAAGGCCTTCTCCGCATTCTTCTTACCACGAATCGTGATAAATCCGAAACCTCGAAGCTTCCCCTTCGACTGGGGTAAGTCAGCAAACTTGACTTTTCCATAACTTCTGAAAATATTTGATAGTTGTTCAGAGGTTTTGATGGTCCAAGGCAGATTTCGCACAATCAGCTTCGGTGGCTTTCGGTCTTCTTCTCTCCCAGGCTTTTTTGGGACGGCCGTGTCTGAAATAACCGCCTTTCGTTTCCTTGGCTCAGCTATGTCAATGCGAATATGTTTTCCTTCCCACTCTGCCTTGTCCAGAGTGTCCTTGGCCGCCAAAGCATCGTCCACATCCGCCAGTGTGACAAAGCCATAACCTCTGGATTCCTTGGTCTTTTGATCGACAACGACGACGGCATGTTTCACGGGGAAATGTTGAGAGAAGAAGTCTGCCAGGGTCTCATTCGTGACTTTCGCAGGTAAAGAGCGGACGAACAAGGATCTGCGTTCCTCAACTCGTGGACGTTTCGTATTTTGGCCAACTTCAATTTCAGCATCGGCGATTGATGTGGCTGAACATTCTTCGACCTCGGACAATTGCCTTTTGCGACTGTTCTTCGAATTGGCAGCCATTGCAGCCAGATACATAGGCTTTTCCGAGCCTTTGACCGCTTGAGAATGGCTGGAAAGATGTGCTTTGCCGGTGCATGATATAATCATCAATGCTTTACGGACCCGATCAGTTCTATAAAAAAAGTTCCTTGATGCCTTATCTTATCGCACGTGATAGCGGGAGCCTGCCATTGTCGCTGATTGCGCTAGACCGTATTTGGGATATTGTTGACTTTCAACCACCCATTGCGACGCGACCCGTCGAACATCTAAACATGGGCTTCATCTGGGGGTCTTCGATAGAAACCCTCATCTATTCATCGAACAAACAACGGCAGGGACAAGCCGACGCTCCTCGTCAATATACACAATGCCCGCCTCAAATTTCAGTCGGTCGACGAGGAGGTCAACCGCTGTTTCCCGAAAACAATCAACAGCGACTCTGAATTCTCGCGCCTCCGTCGCATCACGCGTCTCATTTGCCGTTGTCGAGTATGTTGATACTCCGGATAATGCACTACGGACGCAAATATGCGCGATATTTCGCGATGCGCAGCGTACAACTGCAACACATCGGAAACTTGCTGTGAACCTTCGCAAGATTCATGAATCTTGCTGCTACGAACCAGCCAAGCCTTCAAATGCGCCTTCAAATGACTTTGACGAGGTGGCTTTCAACAAAGAATTTGTTCGCTGTGTCTTGAGGATTATGCCAGTAAAGAAATCCGAAAATGTTGGAGAGAAGTGCGTCAGATTTGTCGCTTTCTATCTACGACATTCCAACGAAAAAGACAACGAGATCTTGGGTGACGTTGAAGGAGACACCAGTTTAATGCCGGAAACGCCAAGTACAAGACTCACATCAAAAGTTCTTGAAGAAGTCTTGCCATTGATGACAGCCAAGGATAAATTTGTCCGATATCGATCAACACAACTCATCTCACAAATTATCAACTCGTTAGATGCTATCGATGACGACCTATTCCAGAAGCTACGCCATGGCTTACTCAAACGAATCCGCGACAAAGAGGCCATGGTGCGTTCCCAAGCCGTGCTTGGGCTAGGCCGTCTTGCTGGCAACCAAGCCGAAGGCTGCACCAACTCGGAAGACAGCGACAACGACCAGGGGACAGATTTGCTGGGCAAGCTCCTCGAGGTCATGCAAAACGACCCTAGCGCTGATGTACGACGATCCTTGCTTGTGAACCTTCCAATTCTTCCCAATACTCTTCCGTTTTTGCTTGAGAGGGCCCGAGATCAAGATGCTGCCACCAGAAGGGCAGTCTACTCCCGTCTTTTGCCAGCGCTAGGCGATTTTCGACATCTGTCGCTCTCCATGAGGGAAAAACTCCTTCGATGGGGTATCCGGGATCGAGATGATAACGTTCGTAAAGCCACCGGTCGGCTCTTCAGGGAACGATGGATCGGGGACTGCGCGGGCACTTCGCAACAAGATGACGGCACTTCGGGAGAAGCCACTCCTGTTAGCTTTGATGGTTTGTTAGAATTGCTCGAGCGGATTGATGTGATCAATTCTGGGGTCGAGAATGGTGTGGCCCTTGGGGCCATGAAGGGATTTTGGGAGGGTCGTCCAGACTATCGAGAGGCAGTCACCTTTGGCGATAACTTCTGGGAAACACTTTCGGCTGAGTCTGTTTTCATGGCCAGGAGCTTTAATGACTTCTGCCGTAGTGAGGGTGGTGGACGATACGAGTCACTGGTCGAAGAGAAGCTGCCTGAAGTGACCAAACTCGCATTCTACATTGAACGGTACATGCAGGTTCTCGTTGAAGCGCTTAAGAGGGCGAACCAGCCTGGTACAGATGAAGAGGAGGAGGGGGATACCGTCGAACAGGAGTTTATCATCGAGCAAATGCTTCATATCGCCCTGACTCTCGATTACTCAGATGAAGTGGGCCGAAGAAAGATGTTTACGCTGCTGCGACAGTCGTTATCAATTCCGGAGCTCCCAGATGAAATCACCAAGCTCACGGTTGAAGTGCTGCATTATATCTGTGCTCCGGATGCAGCTGGCGAGCGTGAGTTCTGCAGTATTGTCCTCGAGTCTGTTGCAGATGTTCACGACACTATTGTCGATGATCCCCTTGCAGATGAAGGCGACGACAGTTTCCACTCTGCAAGGTCAGAAGTGAGCCGTGGTAGCAGCACACCTACCCGTGAAAAGAAGAGAGGCAATGAGTCCGAGTTAAGTGAAGAAGAGGCTCGAGAGAAGGCGGTTAGGGAGATTGTCGTCAACATGAAGTGCCTCCACATCGTTCAGTGCATGCTGACCCATGTGGCCGGTAATTTAAAGGACAACGCCGATCTGGTCTCGATGCTGAACAATCTCGTGGTGCCGGCTGTGCGAAGTCATGAAGCGCCTGTGCGAGAGAGAGGTTTGGTATGCTTGGGCTTGTGCGCGCTGCTGGATAGATCCCTGGCTGAAGAGAACCTCGGATTGTTCATTCACTTCTTCAATAAGGGGCATCCAGCCTTGCAAATCACGGCTTTGCACATATTGACAGACATTTTGAACGTTCACGGTGCTCAGCTGCTATCATCCACCCACGGCCTATTGAAGGTCTACGTCAAAGCCGTCAAAGGAGGCGCCAAGGCACCAGAAGTCCAAGCTGCGGCAACTGTGGCCGCGTCCAAGTTATTGCTCGGTAGAGTTGTGAGCGAGCAAGATGCCTGCGAGGAGCTTTTGAAGGCACTTGTTATTGCGTACTTCGACCCCTCTTCTGCGACCAACCAGCCTGTCAGGCAGGCATTGAACTATTTCCTCCCGGTATTCTGCTATTCGCGTACTGCCAATCAGGATCTGATGCAAGCAATTTCGTTGCAGGCCTTACACTCTCTCCTGAACTTGCGTGAAGGCCTGGAGGATGACGACGTTGATATAGGAGAAGACATGGTTAGCATGACCACTATCGGTGCCTGTCTGGTAGACTGGACAGACCCAAGAAAATGTTACACTCCTGGGGCCGCCCTGGATGTGGAAAAGAAGACTGTCAACGGCGATGTCCACCTCCGAATGGGCCAGGCCATCATGGAAAAACTGCGAAGCAATGTGAACAGTGAGTGCATCTGGTGAGATGTTTCCCTGTTCTGCAAGGCCTGTGAAAACTAACTAGATCAATAGAAGAAGAAAAGAAGCTAGTAGCTGGCCTTCTAAGTAAACTGTATATCTCGCCAGGATCGTCAGAGGCCCTGATCCGAGATTTATATGCCGATGTAAGTGATGCTGTTGAGGACGGGTTGCTTAGCGATGCAGCAAGCCGTAACTCGTTGTACAAGATCCACGTTGGCTTGGGCAAAATTGTCAATACACTTGACGAGCAGCAACCATCGAACAGGCGTACGAGTCGCAGTGTGTCCGTGGCGGCCATGGATAGACAGCCAATAGAAGACAGGACAATTTTAGAGGAGCCCAAGATAAAGGAGGAAGAGTTGGCTGATTATGATGGTGCCGTCGTTGTGCTGAAGAAGGATGACAAGGAATCAGGGGCGGGTGACGCTTCATTCCACGAGGAATGCACCAAGACGGAGAGTGCTTGAGCACCATTTCGGATGCAATGAATGACATGTGAAGGCGTGATGAAACAATTTAAGGATGGGAGTTGTGCGAAATAGCAACTTCATGTTTGCTCGGTCGTTGTATGTTGTCTATCGATATTCGCTATGAAGGGATCCAAATGTCCGTCTGTTTTATAAGTACAGAATGAAAACCACTTTGTTCTACGAGGACGCATTGTCGCTAGCTGGCACCGAGAGAAAAGAGAACGCTTCCCAAGCCAACATTTATGACCAAATGCTGCGCCAAATTCCACGCCATACAATGCAGGTATTTGGGTGAGAAAACAGTCCAAATGAAGAGATGAGTTCGCAAGACCGTACAAGCTGCCATGACAAAGGCAACACTTGTCGTCGAAAATAGGGTCAAGAGCGCCAAGTGACGACGGAAGACGTATTGCTGGCCCTGTCTGTGCTTTTCCAAGAGTAGCAGGTTGGTCGCTACGACCCAGAAGATGGGGCCTGCCCAGTTGCTGATAAATGTGAGGACGCCGACAGTGGCGATATTAAAGCCACTGATGCCGTTGTAGGCGCTCGATAAATCGATGGAGGAGATGGCGTTTGATCCACCGAAGGAGAAGAAGGATGCGTACTGGAACAGTATGGACGTGGTGGTAATTTCGGCTACTGTCAGTTCACTTATGTCTACTAAGTGTAGAAGCACGCTTGAGAGGAGGAGAAGCGGGATATTTGTCGCTCGTGATTGCGTCATTGCCAGGAAGGCGTAGATGTGATGTATCAGCTTGGCTGTGACGCATGAATTAGCAAGTGATAGAAGCATGGAAGAAAGGCATATCGTATGCTAGATGCCGGATGGAAGTATTTACCGGATGATGTGGCTCTCGACCCCCCTTTTCGAGCCTGGTAGACGGCAAAACTGGACAGGAGCAAGAGAATGGAAAAGACGACCCTCGCTCTCGACAGCAAAGACTGCTCATGAAACGCATCATTCATTTTCTTAGCAAAGGATGTGACGAGTTCAGGCGAATCCTCGGCAGTAAAAGCAAGTTTGAAGGTGAAGGCTGAAGAGACCAGCACGGATGTGGCTGATGTTATTGCAACGTATGGCAAGTCGTGAATGCTGGACATGAGCTGGAGAGATGCCGTAAGGTACGAGGCAATAATCAAAGTCCACAGGAGCGGTGGATTGGGCGAAATAAATAGTTTGACGACATCTGCTTCTCCCGCAAATTTCTGCCCGGTTCGGTTCCAGCTCCTTACCAATCGAATGACGCTCAATGCCAGCAAATACCTTAGGCTGCCGGAAGCAGCTTGAGTTCTGCGAGAAGAAAGGTATCCGGATTAGCAGTCTGTAGTCGGAACAAATTTGAATGTCCGGTGAGGACTTATTCACCTTCGAATGGCTTTGAGGCCAAGAAGCCCGATCCAAATGGTAGAAGACCAGTACCAAAAATGCTGCTCCTCCTCAACATAGCTGCTTGCAAACATCATCCCGCCGTACGATACAGTAATAACAACTAGTGGCAAGATGTTTCCTAGACCGGTAGTGCCCAGCAGCGTTATTGCCAAGACGTTGCATGCGACAGCTAGCAGAGCAAGCGTCTGGCCCAAGAGTAGTTTGGGGATATTATAGTTTGAGGCCATGCTGCTCATCAGGTCCTGAGCTTTGCGAAGCCAAGCGGCCATGCCAGAAAGCCAAACCGAATCCAATTCGGAAGACCCAAGCAAGAAGCCGGCTTCTTTATAAAGCCGGTGCCAATCACATGCCAAGGTGTTGATGGCCGTGGGTTCGAAGGAACAAAGACTGGTATTTGTATGCGGATCAAACAGCTCCACACCAAAAACAGCTGTCACGACGCCTAGTATTTGCTTCGCATTTCGGGTCAGAATCTGTATTTGGTCCTTTGGTTCTGGCCAAAACGGCAAAAATTGGGGAATAAATGCACCGAGATTGTTTTTGGAGATTGGAAAGCCGAGCAACGCAGCGATTGTCGGGGTGATGTCAGACTGTTCTACCCTGGTGTAGTAGTCAAACTCGTCCTTGGGTTGCATTGGGGCCGATAATTTGGGCACAACGTCTCTGAACTTTGGAGACATGAACACAAGAGCTGGGGAGGTCTCGCCGGGAGATGAGGCGCCATGGTTCCCAGCGTCATTCATGCCATGGTCACCACAGAGTACGAACAGGGTTGATTTTAAGTGGTCTTTGGACTCTAGAGCCTGGTAAATGAATTTTACAATGCCATCCATTTCGCGTTGTTTGGGAAGCATGTTGCTACTATTCCTCGGGCAATTAGCTCATGGGTCTGGAGGGTAGGAAGAGCCATCGTCCCGAAACCCTACCTTCGCGGTCCGGACTTGTGGCCGATATGATCCAGGCCCAAGTAATGCAGTACCATAAGGCCCCAGTCCGTGTTCTCCAGCTCACGGGCAATGTTTCTGGTGACGTTATTATCTACCTCTGTGAAGTCCTGACTGCATTGTCAGCCTCGTTTCATGAATCAGCAGAACTTGATGGAACGACATACCGAGACGAAAAAGCTCGACGTGCCGTCATAGTGGTCAAAGGTATCAGGAAACAACTTGAGCCAAGTATCATCGCCAAACATCAACAGCTTGCCCTTCCCAGCGGCCCGGATTTGGGCAAGCCAGGTGTCTTGGGCGGCGAGGGTAGATGACGTGTCAGCCTCATCAAAGTTGAGAATTAGATCAACAAATGACGGAATTGACCCAGTGGTGATGGCCTTGAGTCTCGGCATGGTCACCGTTGGCGAACGCGCATTGGCAGTAAACGGCAGGGCCACGCCATTTCGAATCAGACTGGAGTTTGACAATACAGTAAGCAGAGAGCTCGCCGTTCGTGAACTGGGTAGGCAAAGTCACCTTTGAGTATATGCAAATCCAGAGTCTTGGGAGAAGACGAAGTCACTAACGGCCAAAGCTGTCAGAGAGATACACAATCGTCTTGATACGGAGTCGTCGCAAACGAACCTCCGAAGCGCATCAACCACCATAAACACCAACTTATCAAAGGGCGCGCTTGGTGGCTCGCCGAATTCCAATGGCTCATATTCGGCAAGGCCGGGAAGAAACGGCTTATAAGGGAAGAATCCGATTCCGAAGGTAACAATGGCCAGCGGTAATAGTATGTTGGCTGTGGTTAAGAGAACAGCACTCAGGCGCAGCCCAGCGTCAGTGGCCATGGTCAGGCCGGGTTGACGAAGCAGGAGCAGCAGAACGGTACCGAAAGGAGTCCGCACACGACGAATAAAGGATTCCCGTATGAGAGGTGGCTGAAACCCATGTAAGCAATTCGTTTGTTTTGGCGGCGAGCACCATGCGTGGAAGGAGGCAGGGAACACTGGGGAACATTGAGCGAGCTGGCCCACCCAGCAATTCACCCGAGCAGGCCCGAACAGCGTGCTTGTTTCAGGGGTCACCTCAGATCAACGCCAGGCTGCGCCACCGCACTCAACGTGACATCTCAATAACTACTTTGTAAATAAATTCGGCCCAGGTGGTTGCGTCGAAATCACACGAGCTCCTACGTGACAAGTGTGCCGAATGAGCCTCAGGTGATAATTGGACCGTGCAACGCGAGAACTAGAGCTGAACATGATACATGAGTAGTAAGTTGCTACGTCAATTTGATTTCCATCTCGCATCGAGTGTTGCTATTGCCAGCCAACCGTCCGACTCCCAAATGAAAACTCCGTAAACCAGCCGCTTATCGGCTGCCCTTCTTCTTTTTCTTGGCCAGCCTGTCACTGTATCTGGCAAAGACAATACCCGACTTCTTCTGTCTCCTCTTGTCGATGCGCTTCTTCCCAATGCGCAACTTTGGAGGCTTGGAGTCTACTTCCATAACTGAGCCAGCTGATTAGTATCACTCAGGTTCGGCCAGCGTGTAAAGGAGCGTAGATACCGATGTCATTGCCAGGCTGGGCGCTGTCAATGTCTTCAACCACGTCGTCGGCTGCGTTGGCTATGAATATATTTAGAATTATACGGTGATGCACCCTTCGTTGTTCCATCAAGTCACCTACTGTCCATGTTCGCATCTGAGGACTCGGGCTTGGGTTGTCTCGCCAACTCCAAGAGCTTCGTGGACAGGCGCTCGTTTCGAGCAACCTCAGCTGGGCTGAAAACACTGGCAGCCTTGCGCCGGTTGTTCTCCTTCCTCGAACTTGATCTCGAACTCTTGGCCATTGTATATGGAGGTATGTGACGATGGAAAAAGAAGGTCGATAAGATATGATAAAAGTAATCTGGTAACTAACTTATTAGCGGGGCTGGAGGGGAAAAAAAAGCGACCGGTGACGGCAGCGGCAAGACCTGTGGCGCATGAGCGCCCATGGTGCCAGGTGGCTGGAAAGAGCCAACGGAGAAAATCCTCGCTGATGCATTCAGTGCCAGCACATCGAGATTGAAGTGATCGGTACGAAGGATGCTGGTGCTGGTTTTGGCAAGATAATTCCCGCCGTTCTCGCCGCTCAACTCGCCGCTCAACTCGCCGCTCAACGCGCCGCAGCCAAGCCTCTGTCACTCTCCGTCATTGACTGTCAACTGCTCGTTGGCCGTCGCCGCCGTCGTCGCCAGCTGCTGCCACTGTGACCGCCTTCCTGATCAATTCCTAGGTCGCTGATCGACACGAACATCACGCTCCAACGAACGCCAAGCCGGATTTCGTCACTTTTGCCGCCATAGGTCAGGATGCGTTGCTTGACCCTGTCGCTGCGCCGGCAAAATCGACCCTTTTCGACCTAAAAACTCCAAGACTCTGCTTATACCGACGCGAACTCTACCGGTAACCAAATCACAGCCTCCCCCGCCGAGCCAGGCGCACGTCTGGGTGGGCATTCTGACACCAGCGCCAGCGACGACTTTCCGACTGGCGAACTGTGAGCTGCGAGCTGTGGACTGCGAGCTGTCACCCAGGAGCTAGCCAACTCCTGAAAACCAAGACCCAAGCTTTCACACAGTGCTTTGAATAGTGGCCGGTTCCGGGGCCTCGGTGCTAAAGAGTGTTCAAGCGTCAACTTTACTATGCATATCGAGACGCCACGGGTTGCTCCTGCCCTTCGTGATAAGCCAAGTCCTTCTCCCGTCCGCCTTCCCGCCGAAACGCTCGAAACACCTATACCCAGACGAGATTGCGATGGCGACTTCCTTTTCCGCCGTATCGAGGCAGGAAGTAACTGTCCTTTTGCGGTTGATCCAGGGCAACCAACTGTTAAACCGACAGCTTTCCTCCATTTGCCAAGTTAATGGTCTGAAATGCACCGGTGTCAAGGCTGAACTCCAGCGTCGCATCGTTGATCGTACGTTCTGCCTCTAAATAAACCTGAACACACCACCTAATCTAACCACCATCCCCTTAGTGATACAAGACACTGTCAACGCAAATGATGCCTCGCGCTTTCAACAAGTCCGGCAAAGCATCCTCAATGTCGGCTCGCAACGACCGAGTCCATCGTCCAAGGCATCTGCGCAACGAAATACCGTGGCCGCTGCTACAGGCCTTCCCAACACGCAGTTCGTGCCTCCAATGACTTCCTACAGTCAAGCCGCCAGTCCTTACCAGCAACGGGGTCTTCACGGATCTGCTAGCGCCGTTAATGACCGCCCTCTGAACAGTCCATTCAACCCGTCCACCGGCAATATAATATTCCACCCCAGTCCATTCTACCGTATTGAAAGCGCCGTCAGCAACTTGCGGACATGTGAGAGTAGGTCGTTCTATCCCTTTTGCTACAAATATGAATGGACCACCTAACGGCCCTGGCCTGCAGCAATGGCACAACATAGAAATTCCATCAACATACCAATCAAAGCTATTGATCATCCAGCGCTTCAACAATGCCTAAATGACGATTCGTACCGAGTCATGATATTTTGTGCCGGCGACATATATGGTGTCCAAAATGTCGCATTCCCCCATCAGTCTGAGCTAAGGGTGAACAACCAGGAAATCAAGGCAAATTTGCGAGGCTTGAAGAACAAACCCGGGTCTACTAGACCAGTTGACATCACAGCTGCGCTTCGTCTAAGACCTCCTTATCACGGCAATAACGTCGAGTTCACATATGCCTTGACTAGCAAAGTAAGATTTTCCATTAACCTAACGACAATCTCTACCGACCCTGGACTATAGCTGACATATTAACCCAGAAGTTTTATCTCGTTGCCAATGTCTGCAAGATCACCACAGTAAAGGAGCTAGTCTCCATTATTTCTACTCGTCGAAGGATACCAAAGGCGTCGGTTATATCCGAACGTAAGCAGATGTTGATTAATGTTTTCGGCAAACTTTGCTCCTGCTAACCCATTTGACAGTGAACAAAAAGGCCCAGGATCCAGAAGTTGTAGCGACGTCACAGGTTCTATCGCTGAAATGCCCACTCTCTTATATGAGACTGGAAGTTCCTTGCCGCAGCTTGAGTTGCGCTCATATGCAATGCTTTGACGCAACGTCGTATCTCCAACTTCAGGAGCAAGGACCTCAATGGCTCTGCCCCATTTGCAACAAATCGGCGCCTTTTGAGCAGCTCGCAGTTGACGAGTAAGTTCGACCCTGTGGACAATCAGGTAACCATCGAGACTGACTCTCACCTGCTAGGTATGTCCGGGATATTCTGGCGAATACACCCAAAGACCTGGAAAACGTCACCATTGAACCGAATGGACATTGGTTGATGAAAACATTTCGTGATGAGAATCTGAAACCATGCACCGATCCTACTTTCGACGACGACGACGAATTAGAGATCTCAGAAATCAACATTGTCGGCCGTCGATTGGAAACCCCCAAGACTACTACGCCCATAATTGGCACTCCCGCATCTGGGGGCAGAGAGAGCTCGGCAAATGCACCACACGGTGTTGCAGCCAACAGCGCAAAGCGTCCAGCGGCAGCAGTCATTGACCTGACACTTTCGTCCGACGATGAAGAACCGCTGGAAAGGCCTCGCAAGAGACAGAATACTGCAGCAAATGGATTTCAGAACTCGAATGGCATGGGCTTCTTGAGCGAATCTCCCGTGGGTTACCCGCATAGCTAAAGGATTACACAGGGACTAGTGGTTATGGTAAGCGGCTACGGGACTGGAGCTTACAGAGGGGTATCATATGTATTCGACGCCATTGATGCCTGTCGACGTTGGTGGAGTGGTCACTTACTTATGACCACATACTGTAGTCTCAACTCTCCGTGGCAAGGGTGAGGGATAGGTTGTGGTTCAGGGCCACATTTTCCGCTTCATTCGATATTTTGGCATATGAGGCAAGGCGTTTGGGCTTGAGAAAAGGAGGATTTCCCTCTTGTTTGGTCGGATTGGCTTCATTTTGCGATTCGACGAGGAGATGTGGAGTTTAGGTTTTTCCAAAGGTGGTTCATTGACATGGTATGGCCAAGCTACGTTGAATAGCCTATTTCGCAGGCATCCGCGCCTGCTTTGAGGGATAAAATGGTTAGCTTGGCGAATTTCTACTCTGAGTGCCAGATTTCGTATAACTTGTTAGAGTCCCCAGGCAATCACTTATACATGTACCTCATTACGTAGAGTCACGTAACCAAAAAAGTGGGTCGAAATATTTGGACTGGTTTGGAGGCTCAGGCTTCTGGTACCACTGACGGCGTGACGATCAAGAGCTCGCTGCCAGAGTTCAACTCCTCATTTCTTGCCCGTCTCCAGAATCGTCTCCAAACACCATCATCACGAACTTAAATGACATGATGAATATCCGCTGCTACTTCACCGCTAAACGCCCGACCGATACCTAATAATAATCGCCGTCTCGACAAGGAGAATTTCCGCCTGCCCCTACCTAACACGATCAGAAATAGAAAACAGAACCCAAACGCCGCACGCCATGTCTCTCGATCCCATAATGCCCCCTTATAACTCTTCAGATCCATCCGCCAATTTTCTCTCGTCATCATGCCTTGATTTTCTGCTGATAGAACTTGTCCCTCTTGCCTACCGAATCACAAACGAGCGGGACTCGACTCAGGATCTATCGGAGCCGGCAAACACTCAGACGGCCGAAGCAGCCTCAAATAGTCACCGTGCTACAAGCTCGGGGTCAGGAGCTCATCAAGCCTCCAACTTGGGCACCCGGAAGCTAGATGATGAAGAGGAGCTGGACGCGGTGCATTTCCGGTTGGAATCTCTTGGATACCGTGTTGGGCAGGGTCTAGTGGAAAGGTTTGTCTCTGTCCTGTCCCGTTCGCACGGGCTGCCTGTGGAAGTCATGTGCGTTGCTGAACGCCTTGGGACTTAGGTTCTCGAGGGATCGCCCTCGGTTCAACGATACGTTGGATGTTATCAAATTTTTGTGCAAAGATCTATGGTCTCTTGTATTTGGGAAGAATATTGACAATTTGAAAACCAACCATCGGGTACGCTTTTCCAACGCTGAAAAGTCGTTCAGGTAGAAATGCTAATCTGAAAGGTCCACTAGGGAGTCTACGTTTTGACCGACAACGTTTTCCGACCATTTTCGCGCATGAGTACGGTTGCAGGGGGGCAGGCCGTCGTGCGGGCACAACCGGTATGTTGTGCAATACCTTGACCGTATAACGGGTGTCTGTCAATCATGAATCTGATCACGACTAGTTTCTTTGGTTCCCCTGTGGAATCGTGCGAGGTGCCTTAGCGGCCTTGGGTATAAGTGCTACTGTGCAAGCAGAAATCAACGAGCTGCCAGGAGCTGTTTTTCAAATCAAGACACTCAGTTCCAAACCATAGCCACTAAAGATATATGAGTTTGTTGCAGCGATTTAGACATGCAGGTTACGGCGCAGCACTTCCAATGTACTCTTACGCGATGCCTACGATGATTTTCAGTCAAGTTCCGACGCCAAACAAGACCGAGTCTTGTTGGTTTCCACACGCCTCATCCGCTCCTTGAATTGCCACTGACGGTCGATACGCTCCTGGTGGTGGGATAATTGGCGCAAAGGCAGTTCACAGCCTATGAGAAGAGTCCAACATCAGCAACAATAGCCTAGGTCGTTTACTACGCTAGTTTCACATAGCTATTTTTCTCTGAAGACAGGCATCCGTAAAATCAGATTGCTGCTGTTTTGGGGACATCGGGGATTGTTCACTTTTGGGGAGGGTTGTGAGCAAAATCAATGCCCTTCTTGATGTTGCCTTTCAGGCCCTCAACAGCCTTGCTTAAAAGCCCCTTCTCCTTCTCGGTGAGATCCCCCAAGGGGTTGGTGGCTTTCTCGGCACCGTTGGGCTGGAAAAGATGTTAGTGAATCTTCAATGATACGGGAAGTGTTTCGGGGCGCATTGGCATACTCCAAGTTCGATGGGAACAGAGAAGAAGTCGCAACCGGTCTCCTTGGCAATGGCCTCGCCGCCGGGCACGCCGGGAAGATAGACAAAGCTGGGCTCACAAAGATTCTTTTCGCCCTTCACAGCACGTAAGAGCTTCTCGGTGAAGCTAGTCCCATGCAATCAGCTGCTGCGACTGAGAGTCGTTTTACAACACCAAATCAGTGAGAGAACATACCGGAATCCAGCGTACGCCATAGATAGAGTGGCAGATCCGGCTCCGCCCTTCGCCTCCACAACCTCATCGCCACCGAACTGAACACGTTTCACAAGGGCGTCGTACTTGTCGGCCGGGATGTTGACTTTGGGGTTGGCCTTGCTCAACAGAGGAACAATGGTCTCGCCAGAGTGCCCACCGACAACGGGAATGGTAAGCTTCTGGGGTTCCTTCTCGCCAACGATGCCAGCAACGAAAGTCTCCGCTCGCACAATATCTAGGGTGGTGACACCGAAGAGACGCTGAGCGTTGAATGCTTTCTTTGCCTTTAAAACTTCAGCTGAAATGGGGACTGTGGAGTTGACAGGATTGGAAATGACCAAGACGAAGGCCTTGGGCGCAACTTCGGCAATGGTCTCGATCAAGCCCTTGACAATGCCGGCATTGATGTTGAAAAGGTCGTCGCGGGTCATGCCAGGCTTGCCTGTACAACGAATATTTAGTCAGCCGGTATTATAAAGGGACATATGCAAGCTGGCCATGTTACAGGGTATGGCCGCTTTACTTGGGGGAACAACACAAGATGATGACATACGAGGAATCCCGGCAGGAATGATGATAATATCAGCATCCTTGAAGGCAGCCTTGGCGCCGTCGTTGGCAGGAAGATAGCCAGTGACTTCCTGTAATGACGTAGACATCTTCATTAGCATACTACGTTGAGCCCGATACGACAAAAGAAGTCGGTTGGTCCTTTCCAATGGGCAGACCTACCGCAGATGAAGAGATGTGAGAGAGATCGGCAGCAACACCAGGCGTGTTGACAACATCGTAAAGGGCCAGCTCATCAATATGAGGGCTCGTCTTCAGGAGCAAGGACAAAGGCTAAGGAAACGGGTAAGCACATGACAGTCGACGAAAGTTTGTAGTCAAGAGAGCTGGTTGCTCCGATGACGGATCTGAGCGCAGCAAACTCACCTGGCCAATACCGCCAGAGGCGCCGGCAACAACTGCCGTCAGGAAACCATCAGCATTTTGTCTGTACGGACAGAAAGACAGTCTTACTCCGTCGAGATATTGGGGAATGCGGGGTTGAGGGGTCCAGGCATACCAGCTTTAACCATGACGACGACTAGGGAGGTTGGATTGGTGGTGTCTATTAGAAACGGACCAACAAACGCCGTTCTTGTTGTATGATAGAAGTAACGAGACCAAACAGCCTCGCGTTCCTGCCAAGAGCAAGGGCGAGAAGGGTTCAGAGTGGTGTGGAAAAGGACAATTGGAAAAGAAGAAGAGAGGCACGGGGAGAAGCTTACAAAAGAAATGGCGCGGAATTTGCTATGTAGCCAGGAAGTCTTGCACCATCCTCGCTCAATTAAGCCCAAGCGTCGCAGCGAGGGGCTCCGAGGAGGGGCCAGCTCAGACGCCAATCAGAGGGGCACGAATGATGGGAGAGCAACAAGCTGGACCGGACTGGTCAAGATTTAAGACACACATCTTTCTTGACTCGAACCGATTCAAGATGGACCCGCCCGCCCGCCACGCCGCCCCCTAGTTCGCTGGAACCGCACATGTAACTTAGTTACGTCGTGAATAGCTTGTGAATGGCGAAAGTTCCCGAGGCTATCCTGGAGCTTTGCCATCCGGATTCTCACGAGCCTGACGTGTCTTCCCGAACCGACTTCATAGCCGTGTCTTGGATTCGTGTGTAAATACATGAACCATGTCGGCGACGACCAGTCGCTCCTCAACGTTCGTGAGTCGGCTCTGGTGCTATATAAGTGGCGCAACAAACAGGTTGCTTGGCTTGGATGTTGTGCTGGCTTTCACTGACACGCACAACAGCTTCGGACACACTCACAAGTACTCGGCATGGAGCCAAACTATGAAGTCAATAGACAACCTACATCACTAACCTCCCACTCAGCACTTTCGTTGCTTTAGGGCATAGCCAACAGGTAACTGTCTCGATCTCTGATCATGACTCAGCCGCGCTATTTCGGCTTCTACATCAAATGCGCAGAAAGATACATTTTCAACTCTTGTCGCCATCCTTTGTTGTTGGCCGCATGGGTCGGCCCGCAGAGGGTAATATGTAGGATCAGTACCACGACGTTTTTCAAGCTGCTGGTACTGATGACACGCTTGAAAATTACTTTTCCATTTCCCTAGCCTTGGGTGGGCGTTGGTCACTACGTATAGATTGAGTTTCTCGACTTTTCCAGTCCAAAAACGACCGTCTAGGGCTGTCTGAAAGGGGAACCCTGTTTGGAGACTGATATTTGCATTCCCTCATCCCAAGCACGACCATTCATCTGTCATTGTGCACGGTTTGGGGCTACCGTACCAATACCTATATGAGGTCTCTCACAGCCTCATACCTGTCATCGTATAATGTACTTGTAGTCTCCCCGACTTAAGATGAGTCCTCAGCCTTCTTGGCCTTGTTTCCTCGAAGCTTGGGCTCGGGCTCGGGCTTGACCGGGCGCTGGGCTCGGCGAATGGCGGAAACACGCTCGACGGCGGCGGATCGGAGATCGCTGCGGTAGCCGGACTTGGAGGTCAAGTTGGCAACAGCCTTGTAGGTCCTGTTTTGGCGCTCAATCAGCGCTCACGGTTTCGGAAAGAACGCCTTTGCGGATAATACTCACTTTCGGCTGGACTTGTTACCGCCGTAGATGGTCTTGACGAAAGCCTTGGCAGGCTTGGTGGCATCCGTGGTCTTCTTGCTGATGACAGTTACGCCGCCCTTCTCGTTGGGGATGATACCGACAGCCTAGCAGCATCTCGGATCAGTATTCCCCTTGTTCCATGGTTCTCTCTTCTGTAGTCGAGTGTAGTAGTTTCAATCGCGAGTGGAATTGTACCTTGGCATTGACGAAACCAGCGTGCTACTCCCAAGTATGTTAGCTATTAGATTCCATATTGCGGTAGTATTTTCCCCTTTTCAAATCAGTTTTTGCCATCGGTTGCATACCTTTCGGCTATTCTTGTTGGTAAGGTTCAGAGGGTCGTGGGAGAACTGGACGCCGCCATTGCGGTTGCTCTTGGATAAGAAGCAATTGTTGTTTCCTACAAGCCCCGACGTGTCAACATGTCCGATTTTCCCCAAGTCCTCGAGTAATTTACTGGCAGAACTTACGGACAATCTCCCAGACCAAGTCTGAGGACATATTGGACAGCGGGAGGGTAGCCATTGTGACGGTAAGGTGATTTGCGACGGCGTAACAGGGTATATCACAACTGTCAAGGCTTTGATGGCTCGAAATCGATGAGGTATTCTCAATGTGTGGGCTCGCTTAACTGCCGCATTACGGCTTAGTGTCTGGGTTGTGTCCAGCACCAGTGTGTGGCAGTGCTGTGTGGCTGGTAATGGCCACACGGCCGGTTGACAGCCTACAGTAAACCACCCCTATAACGATAACCTTCGTGAGCCTTTTTTCATTGTAATATAGCAACTATTATTAAGATGCAACAATTATAGGGCTTGTACCTTTAATTAAATTTACTAGGCAGTTGTACCTAAGGATGTTGTAAAGTATATATTAAGAGATTGTTGTTTCTTTGCTGCCTTATAAGCTTTCTGCTAATTGTGCTAAATCTGCCTTTAATGCTGTTAAAGCTGTTAAAGAAGCTTAAAATTAATAGATTTATATTATTCTTTAAAGAGAATTAATTTGTTAATTGCCTTAGATGCCTCTTGTATAGTAATTACTAGTAGTTTAGGTTCTTTATTAACGTCTTTAAAATTAAGAGAATAGACTTATAAAAACCTTACTATAATATTATTAATTAAGTTGTTATAGCTCTTATTAACATACTTATAGAAGGGCTTAATAAGGTTATTAAGGTTGCTATTAATAATATTTCTAATATTTATAACGCCTTAAATGTATTAAGGACTAGCCTTACAGGCTACTGCGTGTAAGCGTTACTAGTATTAACTATAAACTTAAGGAGAGAAAAGAGGGAAAGGAGAAGCTCTCTATCCCCTCTTTTCCTTCTATTATATATAAATAGGTTTAATGTACATCTAAAGCGTACTTAATAAGGCACTAATATAGTGCCTTATACCTACTTAAGCCTATAGCTTAAGTTTATTACATACTCTCCTTCTAGCGGGTTTGTCTGTATTGCTGCTGTGCAGTAGGGACAGATATATAGTGTAAATCCCCCTAGCAACTATGCGTCCCTGCTCTATGTTTTTCGTGCGTAGTGTATGCTTAATACACCCCTACTTTACAAATAGTTTAGCAACTCTATACTACTTATCCTTATTGTTTTCCTTCTAATAAGTATTACTAACGCTCTTTTTGTGCTACTAAAAATTCTTATTTCTAAAGATTGCTGCTGCTATGCCTGCCTTCTTTTTCTGTGTTGCTTCTGTATTGCCCCTGCTGTTCTAAGCATAATACAGTATATACTGCGCACTTAATTTAGTTTTAGGGAGTTTGCCGCCGGCGCGCCCCCTCCCCTGCCCCTGCCGCCCCTGCCGCTATACTGCAACGCCTGCTATATAGGCAAGTACGCTATAGAAGGCAACTCTAACAACAACAACCTCTCTAATAGAGAGGAAGTTCTAGGAATATATATACTATATTAGCGCAAGCTTATTAATACTAGCCCTACTAGTTGCGTCCCTAGCTCTGCTACAGCCTATAAGTAGTGCTGCAAAACCTGCAAGAGGTGCGTCTAGAAGGCGCACCTCTATGCCTTAAACCCTAAGCTATGCTGCTAATAGAAGAAGGTGCAGTAGATTGCAAACGCTAGTAGGCATATTATATCTGCTGCGCGCAAAAAGTCAAGTAAGAGCCCTAGCGCATGCGCTAAATTTTCTATATAGTTTAATTCTGCCACTAAAAAATTCAATATATTATTAGAGCAGGCCTATATTACCCCTAGTTCTATCTGTTCCTTATACGTACTACTTAATTCGTCTTCTAGCAGTACAGCTGCTAGCGCTAATTTACAGGCGCTAGCGCTTACTAGCGCATTAATGCCTACCTACTGCAGGCATGCGCTGCCTCTAAACTAGTAGATGCTAGTAAGTTTTTTCTAGGGCTAGGCTACTATAGCTTAGAATGTTAAGCAAATGCTGCGCAAGCAGCAGGCAGAGCAGGCAGAGTTATGCTGCAAACGCGCTAACTAGCAGGAGCTAACCTGCACTCTAGTTAACGCGCTTTATAGAGAGGCAACTCCCTGCAGCTAATATATTTGCTCTTATACCTCTAAGACTCTAACTTGTCTCTATAGTAAGGAAGAGGGTAGTTATAAAGGTAATAGTATTTAGAATACTATCCCCTCTCTGCCCCCTCCCCCTCCTAATAATTAGGTTATTAATTTAACTAGCAATAAGTTGCGCTTAAAGTTGCCTAAGGAGCTAGAGCGCTTATTTTAGTAGGCGCTATATTAAGCGTAGGTTAAGTGCAGGTTAAGTATATATTAAGCTCTATAGGTATATTGTCTCTCTTTTTTCTTTCTTTTTTTTTTAATTATAATTTTTTTTTGCTAGCTAGCTTTTATGCTAATATAACTATAGTTTATTCTATTTTTTTTTAATTAGTTAGCTCTATATATTATACTATTGCTTAGGAATTAATTGTCTATAAATTAAGCCTATTACATATTTATATATCTCTCTACTTAGTTTTAAATTAGTTAAGCGCTATAGTATCTTAAAAACTCTTAAGTAGTTTCTATATTAGTTAGATATACTCTTTCTACTTAATATATATATTTTGCTTTTTGCCTCTTCTAGGTGCGTTCTTTACTGCTAGAATTTCCTCTACTTTATATTTATAGGTTTCTTTGTCTTAAAGAGTCTTATCTGCCTTAATTAGTACTAGCAGTAGGCAGGAGTTCTAGAGCACTTAGCTAGGCAGTAGGTTAAATACTGCTTGCTTAATAAAGTCTATATAGAACACTAAGTATATACTATATAGAACGTTTAATTTTACTGTTAATAGAGACAGCACTTTAATTACTATATACTTTACTATAACTTAATTAAGTTTTCTGCTAGAGTAATTTATCTTAATATTATAGAGGTTTAACTACACTAGATCCTCTACCTAGAACCTTTCGGCTAGACATTACTATTTGTTAGCAGCCTTCTATTGCTGCTGCTAGTTGTAGGTAATTACAGCTTGCGCTAGGTTAGTACTCTTCTTTAAGTGCTAGAGAAATACTACTGCCTGCTCTTATAGTATTGTCCTAGAACGCTTAGTTGTTTCTATAAGGACAACTAGGCTTAGGTTGTATCTATATATAGCCTTATTTGCGCTTATACTAATAACTATTAAATTACAGTTGTTTAGAGCTAACTAGCATGCTATAAAGTAATCTGCCTAGTTAACCTACTTAAAGCAGACAACTACTTAGAGAATTGCCTGCACCTCTTAGTTAACTTATTTTATACCTCTATCTATCTAGGAGTAGTAAGAGGTTAAGTGTAGCTATTTAGAGCTAA